TGCTCTACCTTAAACAAAATAGGTTGACAGGTGTTGTGAGGAACACCCCTGAGCACAGGGAAAGACTGGAGATTCTCCGACGAAGCTGCAGCACCTGCCACATCCTGCCCTGTGGGCTTCACAGGGACAAAAACAGATGCTGGGCTGGCAGCCAGTCCGACAGCGCCAGGACCTGCATCGCCTGCAGCATCAGCAGAGCCAGAGGAGACTCCCCCTCAATCCTGCAGCTGCCGTGGAGATGCAGGATCACACATCTCGTCAGTCTTAGCTTTAACTTCCCACCAGAAACGGCTAGGTTCCTTCGGATGCACCGTCACCTGACATGAAGGAAGCGTCCACAAAGCCGACGAGGAGTGACCATGGCCCCAAGGAGTCACCGGCCTCCCGCCAGCGGCATCAGCAGACGCGCTAAAATGAAACACATCAGCGCCCTGTCGCGCCGCAGCCCCGGCAGAGGGCTCTGCGGGGGGCGCGGGCGCCGGCACAGATCGTGAAACCGGCGTGGAGTCCCCCTCCCCCGACATGGGGGCGGGGCCGTGTGCCGAGAGGGGCACGGCCCATGGAGTCACGTCAGAGCGGGCCGGCACAAGGGGGAGGGCAAAGCCCCGATGAGCGCCGGACCCGTGCCGCGAGAAGCGGCAGCGGGCACCACCTCCGCCGGGCAGGGCGGGGCGGGCTGCCCAGCCGCGGGGGCCGGCCCCGCCGGAGGAGCGACGGACGGCCCGCCCCGGGCTGCGGCCATGGACTGCGCTCGCCCAGGGATGGGAGAAATCGCCTCCCCCTCCGAGAAGCCGGACCCAGGGGCGGGTGAAGCCGCCCCCATGCCCGGGGATGGGAGAAATCGCCCCCCCCTCCGAGAAGCTGGACCCAGGGGCGGGCGAAGGCGCCCCCACCGCAGCCAGGGGGGACATGGTGGACACGCCACAGTGCGGACACAGAATCGTCATGGAATCAGAGTCAAACAGAGGCGGTAGCAGGTCCCGTGACTGCCCGCCATCCCCAAGCGCCGGGAAGGCACACAGGGAGGGAGGGTCCCCCCCGTCCTGCCGGCCGTGTGGGGCGGGGCGGGGCGAGGGCGGCCCTCCGGCTCTACCGAGCCCCCAGATGCCCGCGGGGCACCCCCCGCCGGGCTCGGGACCAGCTGGCCAGGAGCCCAATCCACCTCGGGGGAAGAGACATCGCCCTCCGAGGCGGAGCTGCCCCCCAGCTCTCCCTCCCGGGGTGGGGGAGAGGCTCCTGCGTCATACAGAAAATCAGACTCCCCCTCCTCCACATCTGAGACAGAAGGGGTCCCCAGGGAACCCCGAGAGCCATAACGAGGAGACCCCCGCCAAACGTCACTCAACTTTTGCCAGTGCACCATCAGCGATCTCACATCCACCGAACAATCATCAAAGAGAGCAACCATGAGACGATCCCCCACGCGAGACCACACTTCCCTAGAAAGCGCCTCCAAAGGGTCCGAAAAAAAACCTTGCTCTCTGGCCCACAGAAACAAACTCTCAAACGCACTCCAGGAAAGGGAAACTCCTCTCCAATCGAGGAGAACTTTCCAGAGATCTAAAATAACAGAATCATCCGAGGAACTCACAGAGGCTGCCATCTCTCAAAAGAGCAGCAGGCAACGCCAAGCAAACAAGGGGGGGGAAAGGATACAACCTCACCCAGCAAGGCCGCACGACACCGGAGGTCTCAAGTTCACACGAAGGGGTTCACCAGTTGTTGTGATAAGGCATGAAATGATGACACAGACACTGCTGCTCTCGAGGGGAACAAAAAAGAAGAAAGCTTTATTTTCTGACTCCAACGTTTATAGTTTTCCAAAGGTGACAGTGGATTGGAGGGTGACAGTGCCACCTCTCCAATGCCACTGGACAGACCAAGGGTCCATCAATTCTCTCCACCTCCATGAAAGAATGCAAAACATAGGTTATTTACAGAACTGTGTGTGAGAACATTTGTTGAAAGAATGTAAACATCAGAAGGCTTAACAAAGTCTTACAAAATCAGAGCGACAGGGTGAATTTTTCCATTGAGAACTGCCATGGTAGAATCAAAAGAATGGTGAAAGCCTTTGAGTGCCACATCTTTGTAACTCACGTGGCACCTGTGCAATTTCAGACCAAGAAGGAGCTGCTGTGTGTCTGGCTGTGCTGTACAACACTAGTTGTACCAAGTGTCCATAGTATTGATAATTTCCAAGCCCTAGGGAACTGTTGTAAGAGTTGGCAGAACTGTACTTCCTTCCACCACTTGCAAATGAAGAACACAAGAGAGTGGAAACTAAATAAATAGCTGTTCTTTTCCCTGCTTGACAGGTTGATCCTATACCAGAAAACTCCATGACAGTGCAAAGTATTGGAGACAGGAGGAAGGAAGGTGTCATGAGCTCTGATAATGTGAAAAACTTAAAAAAAAAAGGTCATCTGAGCAGGAGGACTGTTGGTGAATAAAATCTTGCAATATGTTTTTGTGGTCCTAAGGGGAAATTATCATAGTTCGTCTTCCTAGAAGAAGGCTGGATACTTCAGAATAATGTTTGGTAAAAGTAACATACACTGTTACTTTTATGTAACAAAAAAAATCAGATTATAGAGAGAGAGAGCTTCTCCAGAGGTTGATTTTCTGTCCATTTCAGTGCCCAGCAGATCTCAACATCAATCCTCATCTTGGTTGCATTCACTGGAATCCTGATTATTTTTATTTTAGAAGTCAGGCACACAGAGCTGCTAAAGCCTAAGATTTTTTTCTTTTATTTTCTTTCATAGATTGTAGTGCTATAGTCCCATTCATCAGGCTAACCTTTATTTATTTTCTGAGACTTGAGTCAATGCATCTCATTCCACATTCTTAGTCATAGTTGATAGTGACTTGTGGAAGGGAGTAGGTTTCTGTTGATGATTCAGAATTAAAAAAAAAAAATGGATAGGTCAGTGAATACTCCTACATGATTCATACTGTTCTTTCAGGATTGTAAGAATGCTTGCCACACTTGAAAGGAAGATCAGAGACTTGGAATGGAAAAGGTTTTGAATATTTATTTCAAAGATACTGGAACAGAGATAGCAAATAACAACCACAAGTCTCTAACTGCAGTCTTCCTTTCACAGAGCTCTCTCATTGCTAATAACACCCTGGTTTTAAAAAGTGTTTGAACTTTGGATGCCTAATGGAATGTCCCTACTTGGACCACACCTGTTGTTAATATTTTGCTTGAAATAGACAACACTGATGTGAATTCATGTCCAATCTAAAAAAATATATATATATATTCTTCAAGAATATTTGTTATTGTTTTTTCAAAGAATGTTTTTTCTTCTCTTCATGCCTACTCTCTGTCAGTGCCAGGGATAAACACTGGCCAACTCTGCTGGCATGCCTGCAGGAAACACAGACCCCAACAGAAACATCCATGTAGATCACTGCTATTTCTCCCTGTTTGGAGTCTGAACTGCATGTGTTAGTTCACATACTATTCACCAAAGCCAAGGCTTGCAGGAATGCACCATGGCTGTTTGAAATGTCAATTATGGCTGGGGACAATTTTACTCTTTAGTTGCTTTGTAGAGAAAAAATGCATTGGTTTGGCCTTGCCTCAGATCAAGCATACTTTTTTTTTTTTTTGTCATTCATTACAACAGCACAATGTTGCAAATAAGATAGGTAAAATAATTTCCCCAATAAATTATACAAAAAATGCTGAAGAATGTTTGTACTATTAAAAAACATTGCAAAACCTCTTTCTTTGAGGAAATAAAAAGGCTGGGTCCAAGCCAAAATATTTGGTGTTATCCTGATGTGTATTGTACCACTATATTCTTTTCTTCAAATAATAATTCAATTTATTGTGGTAATTTAAATCATTAACATGCAAGGAATTTTGAAACATATTCACCATTTGCTGGCTTTTTGCAGCTAGAGCCATACTTGACTCTCATGCAGAGGAAATGCATGAAAATAGAGACAGCCCCTAACAATGCATTGGAAGGACAGTTCATAAAACTTTGGCTGGGCCCTTGCACAGTGGAGAAGCTGGTCCTAGGCAAAAGTTGTAGATTTTATTCATGCTGAAAATAGGTTGATTATTTGTAGAATCCTGCTAGATAATTATTCAAATGAGACAACATTTGTAAGTGCTAACAGCTGCCAAAAATATTTGCAGTTCAAATTGCAGTTATGAGTGTGCAGCTAAAATCTGGAAGTAATGCTCAAGTTTATCTCTGTATGTGATGAGAAAAGCTCACAATATTTTACAAAAGACATCAGAAAGACTAGTACGACAAGATTTGGTGTTTTAAATTTTTTATTCAGTTTGAGTAAAAGCTTTGTTCTAATTAAAAGGGTAGGTGAATTGGAGTAAAGAAATTCTGTTCATTAATTCTATGCCATTCTTAGTGCACTGTGGATTACAGATGAGTTCTGCTCTGAACTGGATGAAAAAGTTCCCAAGAATTTTTTCATATATCCTATATGAAAAGGTGGCTTATCCAAGTTGAATATTTCATTGAAACTTTATCTTAATCTCTCCCTTAAGTAGGACATTAATTAATTTCTGAAACTGAATGCTTAATCAAGACTCATAAGTGCATCTGTGGGCTGATTTGTCTTGAAAAATCAACTAAGAGAGAAAATTGAATGTGTGCACAAAAAAGAGCAGTAAAGTCAGATTCTTAGTGAACATGGGGAAAGACCCTTCAGTTTGCTCTTAGTAAAAACATCTTGATGGGTAGATATTGTCAAGCAAGGAATTTTTTCCACAGAAGATGGAAAGGATTGTCGGGCTAGAAAAAATAAAAGATGTGTCTTCAGCAGGGTTATTGAAATCTTTCAGCCTAAGATCTCTTAATATCTCAGCCTTGAGTGTCTTAAATTTACCAGCTGTAAACATTAGAGCCCACTGTGAACATGACTTCTGTCTCTGGAGCAAGCCCGGGCTATCCAGCTCTTCTGCCTGCAATGAGTCAAAGACTAAAAGCTGAACAGAAGATCCTGTGTCCTGCCCCAGGAAGGTATTCCCACCAATCAAAAGCTCTGAAACAGGCATTTTGCATTTTTAATGTGAGTGGATTGACCACTTTTGGTGAGGGGTTGTTTTAAATAAAAAGGTGTGAAATGTGACATTCATCCTCTTATAAGAGTCTGATGATTACAGATACCTGAGAACAAGAGTCTGAAGTTTTGAGCTGAAATCACTAGACTATGGGCAAATGTAGCATGAGGTTACTCATCTATTATTTTTTAATTACTTCACTTCCAATAATGGAAGACTTGGGAAGGATATCTCACTGAGTTTGGGTTTTTTTTGGAAAAGGTGGGCCCTGAATTCCAGTCTTGCTTTAAGCCTGTTTACTTAGTGTCTGTTTACTGTGCAAGTTAAAGAAATACAGGGAAAATTAACATATAAATGATTTCAATATACCAACTACAGAAGTAAACACCATCTTTGCCACCTCTGATGTGACACAGAAATGTAAGCCTTACTTAGTTCACAAATCCTGTGAGAAAAATCCTCAAGAAAATGGAACCTTCTCTGAGTCTTTTACCTGAGTTTCAGTCTTTGAACATGCTATGAACTGAAGTATTTCTTTAGGCATTTGTAATTCCAGTATGTGGATTATTTAAACTGGTTTTTGTTGATGCCTATTTTTTAACAAGCACTGTACAAGTAGCCTGGGTGACTCAGAAAGATTTATGGATTCTTCTTTGTAGCAAAATGTTTAAAGTTAGGCAATTAAATATCTGATTTCTTGTACATTTTTAACAGAACTGCTCTGCTTTGTTAGGGTGCTCTATATCTCAGCTTCATCCCTTCAAATATGCTCTTTTATGAGATGGAAAATAAACTTCCTTGTATGAATCAGTACATATTGCTGACTCTATGAAAAATGCTTAGGAGACCAGGAGACACAATGTTCCTGCTTAATCCAGAAAACTAGGTCATTGAGAAACATAAAATATTTACGGTTATATATGGTGTGGAAAGAGAGGTACAGCAGATGCCTATAGTGGGACATGATGTGGAAAAATAGGTGCAGCAGATTTTCCCTTTGTAACTGTTGAGGTGATTCCTGGAAAGTCTGCATCAGTTTGAGCTAGAGGCCACCCAGCTTCCCTAATGAGTCAAAAATCTTGTGAGCAAAACAGTCTAGGCTGTTCTAATACAGCATTTTATTTGCTAATGAGTCTTTACTATCATGTTCTCTTTTCTCCTCACTCCAATTTTCAGGGTTGAATTTAGTCGCTGTGATCACTGAAGGGAAAAGAAGGATAATTTGATGCCTAGTGTTCTAGGTTAAATCAACTAATGCATATTAATGACTTCATTCTTCTTTAATCAAGCTAATAGTGACCTCAGACCCTGCTAAGCATGGCAAGAGCCAACTAAAACAGAGCTCTAATAATTTTGTAGACAAAGTAGAGTTTTCATATAATGTAGGAATTCCATTTGGCGCCTCTGCATTTTGACGAATTTTGCTGAAGAATGAGGAAGAACACAGTATTTCTAATAAGAATGTTTAGTTGATGAGTTTTCTTGCACTCTCTTTTTTTTTTTTTTTTTTTTTTTTTTAAAGCATTAAGGATTCTTACATGCTTTAAAATATCTTCCTGTGTTTGAAGAGATTCTCAGAGAGTATTTTAAGAAAAATCTCTCCAAAACATGTCTGAAAGAGGAAAAAAAGCTTAAAAAAAGGAAAATCACAAACTAAAATTAGGAATTTATATGGATTTAATGGGAAAGAGTAACTAATGAAAAGTCAAACTAATGTGAGCATTGTAGAGACTTTCACTTCTAGGA